GGAAGGACCTGCTCACCTCACCTTGGAGGTGTCCTGGAAGCCTGAGGGAGGCCATCCCATCCTATTAGCACATCAGGACATGGGAATTTCATGTATGTTCTGCCTAATGGTGGAAAACAGCAAATTCTTTTTTTCTATCTAAAAATGATCTAGGCTCACACTATTACAATGGCTCACACCTGTAATCCCAGCATTTTGGGAGGCCAGGGCGGTGAATCACCTGAGGTCAGGAGTTTGAGACCAGCCTGGCCAATGTGGCGAAACCCCATCTCTACTAAAACTATAAAAATCAGCCAGGTGTGGTGGCACATGCCTGTAGTCCCAGCTACTGGGGAGGCTGAGGCAGGAGATTTGCTTGAACACAGGAGGCGGAGGTTGCCGTGAGCCGAGATGGCGCCACTGCACTCCAGCCTGGCAACGGAGACTTCATCTAAAAAAACAAAAATAAAAATAGAAATGATCTACATAGGCTGAGAAATGGTTTAGAAACATAAGCCAGATCAAAACCAGTTTTAACGGGAGGGCAAGGAATGGAGCCGTAACGAACGCAGCCGAGAAGCAAGCGGGCCGTGTGCTCTTGGGAGGTGTTTCCAGCGTGGGGATAGCTCCTGAGATACCACAGACCTTAGGAGGACGTTCTTAGAGCCAAAAATTAATATTCTAAAATTAAAATGAGGACATTCTTCCAGATGCCAGTTAAGGTGTCAGCCTGGCCTCTGAGCTGTCCCAGGGGCAGGGACTGCCAGCCACACTTGTGGGAGTGTTTTGCAGCGTCTGTTGGGGACCAGGTGGTGACAGGGTCTGTCCTTTCCCTTCCAGCCGCCCATCATCAGGGCCCGGCCTCAGTGCCCTCCTCCAGGTCCTACACAACTGGTCCGGCTTCTACCCACAAGCGCCCCTCTGCCGCCCTCATTGCCTGGGAGCTGCTCCGCACTCAGGGCCTGGCGGGGCTCTACAGGGGCCTGGGTGCCACTCTCCTCAGGTGAGCCTTCCAGTCCCCTAGGATGAGTGCACGGGAGGGCACAGGGCCAGAGGGCTGGCTCTCCCTCTCTGCCTCTGTCCTTCCCGGCATATCCAAACCCAGGTGAGCAGACCATTTTCATGCTTCCTGTTGTTTTGTCAAGAATTGGTGACGGTGGCACAGAATGGGTACCTGGAGACTAACGTTTAAGGCCCTGTCTCCAGCGACCAGGCCCACAGGAAGGCTGGGTGTTTTGTGGCCCAAAGGCACCTCAGAAAGCCCTGTCTACAGAGCACTGCAGAGTTGATAGTAAATGCAAAGCCATGTCCCTCATCCTCCCCTGGCCTGCCTGCCTCTTTACAGAACGGTTTCAGCCTCAGACTTGCCTCTGGCAGTCAAGAGGCTGCAAGTGCTACAGGGCAGAGGATGGTGCTGGGAGGGCAGGACGGACAGCAACAGCTCTTTTGTCCCCTGCTGTCCCTTACCCATGCTCACGGGGTACTGAAGCAGGGACGAGTCGTAGCGGCTCCCGACCTCGAGTCCTACAGCTCACAGCAACGCTCACCGTCTGACCTTGGGTGGCAGCCCCAGGGTGGATCGGAGCTCAGTGCTTCTTCCTCCTCTGCAGAGACATTCCCTTCTCCGTCATCTACTTCCCGCTGTTTGCCAACCTTAACAACCTGGGGTTCGATGCGCTCGCCGGTAAGGCGTCCTTTGCACATTCCTTCACGTCAGGCTGTGTGGCAGGTTCCGTAGCTGCGGTCGCAGTGACGCCTCTGGATGGTGAGGATGTGGGAGTGTCATTTCTGTGGGATAAACAGCACTTTTGCACTATGACATGCAACAGCCCAACCCTGGAAGACCTTGGTTGCAGTCTGGCCGCTGGCAGAGGCCGTCACACAGACAGCGCCCAGAGACCCCGCTTTTCTGTTTCTCACCCCTGACACATCCCCTCTCCTTCAAGATGCTGATTCCTTTAGCTTTTTGTCCCCTCAGAAGAGTCGTAAGCCTCAGCTATAAATGATTGCTGGTGTTTTAAAATTTGGGGCTGGCCAGGCGCGGTGGCTCATGCCTGTAATCCCAGCACTTTGGGAGGCCGAGGTGGGCACATCACCTGAGGTCAGGAGTTCGAGACCAGCCTGGCCAACATGGCAAAATGCCGACTCTACTAAAAATACAAAAGAATTAGCTGGGTGTGGTGGCAGGGGCGCCTGTAGTCCCAGCTACTTGGGTGGCTGAGGTAGAAGAATTGCTTGAACCCAGGAGGCAGAGGTTGCAATGAGCCGAGACCACGAAACTGCACTCCAGCCTGGGCGACGGCAGGAGACCCCATCTGAAATAAATAAATAAATAAAAATTTGGGGCTAAAGATGGGAGCTAAACCCAGTGTGAGAAGACAGTGCTTCCCCTGAGTTAGGGCTGCTTCCAGCCCCCCAAACATGTATAGGCAGACTTCCTATACCCATAGTAACCTGGCCAGGTGTGGTGGCTCACACCTGTAATCCCAGCACTTGGGGAGGCCAAGACAGGTGCCCAGAGTTCAAGACCAGCTTGGGCAACAGAGACCCTGTCTGTAAAAAAAGTAAAAACAAGGCCGGGCGCGGTGGCTCACGCCTGTAATCCCAGCACTGTGGGAGGCCGAGGCGGGTGGATCACGAGGTCAAGAGATCGACACCATCCTGGTCAACATGGTGAAACCCCGTCTCTACTAAAAATACAAAAAATTATCTGGGCGTGGTGGCGCATGCCTGTAATCCCAGCTACTTAGGAAGCTGAGGCAGGAGAATTGCCTGAACCCGGGAGGCGGAGGTTGCGGTGAGCTGAGATCGCGCCATTGCACTCCAGCCTGGGTAACAAGAGCGAAACTCTGTCTAAAAAAAAAAAAAAAAAAAAAGTAAAAACATTAGCTGGGTGTGGTGGTGCATTCCTGTAGTCCCAGCTGCTTGGGAGGCGGAGGTGGCAAGATCACTTGAGCCCAGATGGTTAAGACTGTAGTGAGCTGTGATTGTGCCATGCCAGTCCAGCCTGGGCAACAGAGCAAGAGCCTGTCTCAACAAAAACAGGGCCACAATAATGTGACTCATTTAGTTTATGGCTGAGGCCCACAGAGGACACTTCCATTTACAGACTACACAATGGCAGACCTGGCCTCGTGACTCAGCTTTATATGTAGTGGCTCTAAAGGAGGACCCAGCCCCTTGTGTGGAGGAGAGGACGCCAAAAGTAAGCTGTTCACTACTCACTTTAACTTTTACTTGATTTAGTTCTGAAAACACGAATCCAAACCCTCAAGAAAGGCCTGGGTGAGGACACGTACAGCGGGATCACCGACTGTGCCAGGTGAGAGCCAGTGTCCTCTCAAATGGAGGCTGGGACACGTCCCTCTGCGTGGGTGTCTGCCTAGACCAGGTGTAGAGACCAACTTGAATGCAGGGCTCTGGGTTTCTCTGAAGTCTTTCCCTTTCCCTCACCTCTCAAAGAAAACAGAATGTACTGGGAGCCTTTTCCTTCCTGGCACCCCTACAGTGCCTCTCACTGAAGATTCTAGCCACAACACGCCTACTTCCAAGGCCCTGACCTAACTGCATATGTAAGCAACCTGCGTGCACCCGGCAGGCGAGGCCCAGCTCCCACACCGCTGGACGCTTGCTCTTGCTGTGCAAGGCTCGGTTCTCGAAGTGCACAGTGGAGACGCCGCCACTAAGGGCTGCTTGCAGAATGCCCCTGCCCATCGGCTCACTGGCTCTTCTTCCTCCACAGGAAACTCTGGATTCAGGAGGGACCATCTGCCTTCATGAAAGGCGCTGGCTGCCGGGCGCTGGTCATAGCACCTCTCTTTGGGATTGCTCAGGGGGTCTATTTCATTGGGATTGGAGAGCGCATCTTAAAGTGTTTTGAGTAGAAAGAGCTGGCGCCCAAGTCCCTGCACTCGCGGCCCTGTCTCTAGCCCATTTTACTTAGCCTAGAGGGGACAAGGGCAGGCGAGGCCACCCTGGCCTGTCCAGTCCTCTGCGTGTACGCTGTAGCGCTACCTCAGTCTCGGGGGAGACAGCCCTCCTCTAACAGCACGCTGAGCACAGCCTTCTTCTCCTTTCCCGTGTGGGCACGGCTACCTGGGGCTTTCGGAAGCCCGTAACCACCTGCTTTTCAATAAGAATAGTACCTGCTTTAGTTGTATTAATTGCAGGACTTTAACAGGTTGTCAAGACAGAAGGGTTGTTTCTATGTTTCAGCATTTCTGTTTCTTCTGTTTCACAAACTCGGCATTCTGGAGTCGGCTTGAGGATTTCCCTGTTAATCTTGAATTCCTTAACTTATGATGAGTCCTAGCACTGATTTTGAGGAAAAGGAGGATCACAGGTGCAAGGGACCATGAAAAACCTCAAAGTCAGCACCTAGTTTGAGACCAGGCACCCTTTCAAATCCTCGGATGGCTGAGGGCTGAGGCTGGCTCCGGCTGAGCAGCCCGGCCACTCCCCCAGAGCCCAGGCTCTGGAAGACCACCCCTCCTTTCTGCAGAACACTATTTGAAATAAAGGTGAACGGTTAAATCTCACCTGTGAATCAGTGCGCACGGCAGACAGGCTGCAGTGAATGGTGTTGCTAACTACTTTTCTATATCCATTATTTCAAAACCAAATATTAAAAAGAGCGTGGAGGCAGGCCCCTGTCACTCTTCAAACTGCTCCTTATGGGGGTGGAGGAATGCATCCATAGGGTTGACTGTGAGCAACACTGGGTTTAGGCCTTGATTCTACCCCTTCCTGAGCGCATCATCTGGAGGAATTGAGTGTGCCGGGAGAGCTCCCCCCGTGCACCTCAGCTCCTCCCCCACAGACCACTCCAGAAGTAATGTCACACCACAGGGGCCAAGTCCTGAGAAGCCAGCACCTGCCACAGGTGGTGTTTACATTAGTCCCCGCCTGCTGTGAAATGTGGGCTAACGAGGAAGAGGACGGCGCTAACGTGGTCGGCCGTGGGGGCGTCACTGTTAAGAGAACCCCATCTAAGTTGGGGTCCCAGCTCCACCATGTACTAGCGGCAACGCCCCGGGCAGCTCTAGGCGTCACCTGTGGAAGACAAAGGATCTGGGCCCCGCACACAGTGACCGGCTCCAAAGTAACCTGGTTTTCCTCACAGGGGCAACACTGATAACACCATTTCCTCACTGAAGTGGTAGAGCCCTTCCAGAGGCCAGGTCACACTGGAGAGCGTGTCGGGGGCATGGGAGATCACAAGGCCTGGAAGGAACGCTCCCGGGTGATGGGCTGGGAACACTGGGCAAGAGCCCGGGGGACACCCAGAGGGCTAACAGACCCAGGTGCTGACAGCTGTCACCATCCAGTACCACGGGGATGTGGAAAATACTTCTTTTCTAGGTGCCTCAGTAAAAATGTAACTCTCAAACCCTGAATTTATAGTGCCTTATACTAGAAATCACATTAATTCCACATAACTCTTTTAATAAATAAAGCACATCCATGGCTTAGATTCTGAATCACATTTACAGAAGACGGAAAGCTTCTAGACCTAAACAGGGAACAGTGAGGCGACTACGAAGAAGTGGTGTGCCACATGCACCTTAAGCTTCAAGTGGGGAATGCAGGGCCGAGAACGCCAGACACGTCACCTGTACGCCAGACGAAGGGAGACCCAGGAAGCCCATGCAACCGCCACCTGCCCCTCCCCTAGTGTGCTGAACCGACCGGACGCTGTGTTACTTTCAGATGAACTGGAGGTGGGTCTTCATATTACATGAAGCTTTCCGCCATTGTGAACAATTAGGCAAGGCATCAGTGACAGACAGAGGGGCATCACTGATAAATACAGAGCAACAACGGGGCAGTAAAGAGGAAGCTACAGAGACATCGTGTTTCTTCAAATATCAGAAGCTTCCACGTCACAGTAGGAGAGCCAAGGATGAGCTCCACCTCCCGGAGGCTTAGTCCAAAAACTTCCTGTTGGCATTCGCACCAAACAAGGCTCCTCGGACTTCTGGCATCATCTGTGGAGAGAGTGTAATAAACACGCAATGTTAGCTGAACAGGTTGTAGAGCACGCCACATCTTAACCACAGGCGCAAAGCCACGAACCTCTGCGTGGCTGGGAAGGACTCATGAAGCCATGCACACCACAGCTGAAACACAGTGACACATTCTGTGGCGAGAAGCTTAACTCATCCCAAATCTGGGGTTCAGACTGCTTGCAAAAGGGACACATTTAAAATAAAAAAACCTAGCCGGGCGCGGTGGCTCACGCCTGTAATCCCAGCACTTTGGGAGGCCGAGGTGGGCAGATCACAAGGTCAGGAGTTCAAGACCAGCCTGGCCAACATGGTGAAACGCTGTCTCTACTAAAAATACAAAAATTAGCCGGGTGGACACCAGGAGTATCAGCTTCTCGGGAAGCTGAGACAGGAGAATGGCTTGAACCTGGGAGGCGGAGGTTGCAGTGAGCCAAGACTGTGCCATCATACTCCAGTCTTGGCAACAGAGCGAGCCTCCGTCTCAAAAAAACACAAAGAAATAAAAAAATAAATAAAACCCCTAAAGTCATTACTATCTCAGGCTTAACTCAAAATCATCTCACCACAATATTCTGGGTCACCTACACTCTCTCTTCCACACACACTTACTGAGTGCCTCCTATGGTCACAGCAGCTGCACAGAACACTTCCAATGCCCGTTTAGGCTGAAGCACTTGTTACAGCCACTGATGAATCCTCAGGAGAATTTAACCCTGGACTTCTAAGGCTGTCAACAGGGCAGCCCTAGCAACAGGTGGTGATTGTGTGCTGAGAAACGGAATTTTTTGGTTTAATTAAATATCCATAAGTGGGTAGTGGCTCTGATACTGGATGGGAGAGGGCTACCAGGAGACACTGCTCTGAGGTTTAAGTTACCAGAATATGAAAAAAATCAAGGTGAAAGTGCTTTAGTTGTAAGACAGCTATCTGCATAAACAGTAAACTGCACATCTAGGCAGGGAATAACTAGGTTAGCAGCCACAGTAATAGAAGATGCCCAGCATTTTAGAACGAGTGGAATTCTCCTGGCTTGTTCCCTAGAGTTCATCTGTACAAATCTGGAAATATCTGAAAAGCCAGCAACTTTATGATAATTCCTTTAGACAAGTGTTTCCGGCTCGGCATGGTGGCTCACGCCTGTAATCCCAGCACTTTGGGAGGCTGAGGAGGGTGGATCACCTGAGGTCAGGAATTTGAGACCAGCCTGGCCAACATGGTGACACTCCATCTCTACTAAAAATACAAAATTCACCAGGCGTGGTGGCACATGCCTGTAATCCGAGCTATCCCAGAGGCTGAAGGAGAAGAATCACTTGAACCCAGGAGGAGGAGGATGCAGTGAGCTGAGATCACACCATTGCACTCCAGCCTAGGTAAAAAAGAACAAAACTCTGATCCAGCCAAACTAAGCTTCGTAAGTGAAGGAGAAATAAAATCCTTTACGAACAAGCAATTACTTCCACCAGGCCTGCTTTACAAGAGCTCCTGAAAGAAGCACTAAACACAGAAAGGAACGACCAGTACACCAGCTACTCCAAAAACATACCGAATGGTAGAGCATCGACACAATGAAGTAACTGCATCAACTAACAGGCAAAATAGCCAGCTAGTATCAAAATGGCAGGGTCAAATTCACACATAACAATATTAACCCTTAATGTAAATGGGCTAAATGCCCCAATCAAAAGACACAGACTGGCAAACTGGATAAAAAGCCAAAACCCATCGCTGTGCTGTATCCAGGAAACCCATCTCACATGCAACGATACACAAAGGCTCAAAATAAAGGGATGGAGGAAGAGTTACCAAGCAAATGGAGAGCAAAAGAAAGCAGGAGTTGCAATTCTCATCTCTGATAAATTAGACTTAAAACAACAAAGATCAAAAGAGACAAAGGAGGACATTACATGATGGTAAAAGGATCAATGCAACAAGAAGAGCTAACGATCCTAAATATATACACACCCAATACAGGAGCACCCAGATACATAGAGCAAGTTCTTTTTTTTTTTTTTTTTTTTTTTTGAGATGGAGTTTCACTCTTGTTGCCCAGGCTGGAGTACAATGGCGCAATCTCGGCTCACCGCAACCTCCGCCTCCTGGGTTCAGGCAATTCTCCTGCCTCAGCCTCCTGAGTAGCTGGGATTACAGGCATGCGCCACCATGCCCAGCTGATTTTTTGTATTTTTAGTAGAGACGGGGTTTCACTATGTTGACCAGGATGGTCTCGATCTCTTGACCTCGTGATCCACCCGCCTTGGCCTCCCAAAGTGCTGGGATTACAGGCGTGAGCCACCGCGCCCGGCCATAGAGCAAGTTCTTAACAACTTACAAAGAGATTTAGACTCCCACACAATAATAGTGGGAGACTTTAACACCCCATTGTCAATATTAGATCAATGAGACAGAAAATTAACAAGGATATCCAGGACTTGAACTCAGACCTGGACCAAGCAAACTTAATAGACATTTACAGAACTCTCCACCCCAAATCCACAGAATATACATTCTTCTCAGCACCACATCACACCCACCCTAAAATTGACCACACAATTGGAAGTAAATCACTCCTCAGCAAATGCAAAAGAACAGAAATCATAACAGTCTCTCAGGCCACAGTGCAATCAAGTTAGAATTCAGAATTCAGAAACTAATTCAGAATTCAGAAACTAACTCAGAACCGCACAGCCTCATGGAAACTGAACTGGCTCTTGAATGTTGAATGGATAAACAATGAAATGAGGGCAGAAATAAAGACGTTCTTCGAAACCAACGAGAATGAAGACACAATATACCAGAATCTCTGGGACACATTTAAAGCAGTGTCTAGAGGAAAATATATAGCAATAAATGCCCACATGAGAAGCAAGGATAGATCTAAAATTGACTCTCTATCATCAAAATTTAAAGAGCTAGAGGAGCAAGATAAAAAAAAACTCAAAACCTAGCAGAAGACAAGAAATAACTAAGATCAGAGCAGAACTGATGGAGATAGAGACACAAAAAAACCCTTCAAAAAATCAATAAATCCAGGAGCTGGTTTTTTGAAAACATCAACAAAATAGACCACTAGACAGATTAATAAAAAAGAAAAGAGAGAATAATCAAATTGATGCAAGAAAAAATGATAAAGGAGATGTCACCACAGATTCCACAGAAATACACATCATCAGAGATTATTACAAACAACTCTACACACATAAACTAGTAAACCTGGAAGAAATGGATAAATTCCTGGACACTTGCATCCTCCCAAGCCT